CATTTGATATAAGTCTTGAATACGTTGCCTAACCGCTTATTTATTGAAATCGGTTTTCATTGTTACAAATTGTGTCATTTTCTTGTAAAATGAAGTATMGATATGTTAAAAGGAAATCAGAATTATGCAACCGCGATCGCTTACTACATATCAAAATCATTACTGACAAAAGATACAAATTCGACTGCTTTAGACCTGCTGTTTACTCTTCGAGCGACCACGAATTCTTCCGAACAAACGTTACAAAGAGTTGCCGAAGTCGACGGTGAGAGACAAGAGAGACTATTCACCTTATTCAAAGTTTGATACCTTGCAAAATACATTAACTGTTYAGCAAACCCTTGTCTTTGTAAGAATTGAAACATTTCATGACATCAGTGGACATAATGACGTGGTCTTCCTAGGCTTGGTAATATTGGTGAAGTGAAGAGTCTCTCTTGCATTCTTCCAACATTTTGAGTACAAGATTTCAAAGCACGATATAACCCAATATAACCCACGCAAYACATATCAAGGATTCTAACGTAACACTAGTCTTTCACACCAGACTAAACAACCAGAAAGACTTAGAGCAAGTCTATGATTGACATTACGTTACCCCCAAAATCTTACTAAAAATGTTCTAAATGTATGTTTAATAAAATAAATAGAATTTCAAAATATACCAATGATATGAGATCTGTTTTAGAGTGAAAATCACATGATATTTACCTGATGCACGCGATATAATGATATGTGTTGTCAGTCTGTGTGAGAAGAAATACATTGCCGTGTATGAGTGAAGTCTCGTCTTTTAATTTGTTGTTTAAGTAATGGTCCGAGTAAGAAGCAGGCAAGCAAACGGCAATGGAATGCATGAAGGTGCTAATTKTGTATTGYRTAATCCATCCATCTCATTGGTTAAAACATTAAAATTTGAGATAATTTAAAAAGTAATCGCATATTTTAATATTTTCTTTAATATCTGATTCTAACTTCATAAAAGCTTTCCTTAGCTTTAATATTAATAGCAATTCTATGTGGGGAACATAGCAAATTAGAAGCATCTTTTGGCTATTGTTTTGTGTGCTTATGATTGGACAAGATCTTTTAATACAAAAGAAACTTTGTTTCAAAACAGAGTTTATCCACATTTTATTTTAAAAATGTGTTGTCCATAGGTTGATATATAATCAGTGTGAAGACCAAGACATTCGTATGTGGGAAAGTTGCAATTGCCGCAGAACAGTAGAAGGTTGCCTGCTTTTTGCGCGCATTGTTACTTAAGCCATACACGGAGTGCGTTTCTCCACAGGGTCGTTCGTACGCAATAAATAGACAATAACGTGCTTAACCTAGTTCCATTTTATACTACGATGAAGGGATTAACGTCCGAAACGTCGGTGCGTTATTTCACCTACTTTTTGAGGTGTTGAATTTATCTTTTCATACAACAGTCACGTGTCAAAGGCGTGGTCACGCCTCGTTGACTGTGTACCTTTCTATCCTTCCTATTCATGCCTGGCTTCTCCGCGCTCCGCCAGGGAAAATGAGACGGCTATTAAAAATGGCGGTCGAGATTTCACYGAGAGCTATAACTTATCCGATTTTTAAGAATTTTGGTGATTATGCATCTTAAAAACTTACAACTTATATMAGTAGTTTCAGAGTTTCAGCCATGATAATATTGGTCGATCTCTAAAACTGCGTTCTCGGGCTATTATTTGTTTTCCGGAAAACCCAGTTTTCGGGCAACTAACACAACATAATRGCCTCGATTCARCTACTCTATTGTATAACAGAGAATTCTTCTACGCATAACCGAAAAAGTGAGAAGAAACGTTTTCAAATTTGTTGTCGAGAGAGCGGGAGATAAATCAYTGGTAAATTGTAATCGGTCGCAAACTCTATCACGAAGTAGTCGTTAGATCTTGCGAGACGTCTTGAATATTTTCARAATAAAATTCGCWGGTAAAAGAGCAAGCTCCGCGCTCAAGATCGGCGACTTACCATCCGCGCAGCTTCCTCTCTTTTCAATTGTCAGTACCATATTCTTTTCACAGCCTGCGTTTTCCATACTCATCTTGTTTGGGTAGTTCTTTCCKTCTGATGCACAAACCGGGTTGTATTCCAGGGTYWTCATYTTACGACATTCACAAACAGCGCTRCCGTTGACAACTCTACASTTTTGCTGTGGGTGGCTGCACATAACATTTGCACAAGGATCGGGTTCATCACCTTAGAAATTATATTTAAAGTTTAGAAGAAATGCGTTTGGTAGTGCTCAAAGCACCTGATTTCGAGCCTGGGTTCGATTATWTTCGGAGCAAAATKTCGGMTCACTTCATTTATGTAAATATGTTTGTTTCAGTAARAGTTACAGAAAATCTTTGTGAGTTCATTACCAAAAACAAATTGAATAAAACCACATTTTCAATTTTGAAATTTTGAAGTTCTTTAATCGCTCTGTTAATAAGCTAGAGTTGAACATTCTACTTACATTTTCCTCTCTTTACTACAGTCAATACCATATTTTTCTCGCATCCGGCGTTCTCCATGATCATCTTGTTTGAGTAAGTTTTACCATCTGACCCACATACAGGGGCATATATCTTTGTTGCCATTTTACGACATTGACAAATAGCGCTGCCGTTAACATTTCGACATGTTTGCTGGGGGTGACTACAAAGTTGTACAGTACATGGATCGGCATCTTTCCCTGTTTAAGAACAAATGGYACAGAATGTGGTATCAATTCGCTCAAGAAAAAGGATGCTTTCAAAATAGGTTTTTGGATTATCAATCTCATGTCCTTGAAACACCTTACGTTGGAAGATATCAAAAATTGAGAGAGTACATTATAATGCATTGTCTGAACCTCGCAATAAATACACTATTTCTAGTATCAAAAAATTACGAGGAAAAAAATTAATTTTATTATCCAGACGAAATTCCAGATGACCATGAACTAGTCACAAAGTGTAGAAAATATTATGTTCGTTATCTTTGGAGTACTTTCTAACCAATGAAAACGGTCATACAATACAACTTTCATTAACGCTCGGTTAAATGTATTGYATGCCCTKTATTGCGCAGTATCTAWACCGTTAATCAGTACGCTCTAACCAAACTTTTCTTATAATATGAAATGGCCATTAATCCGGCTAATTTCAGTTGYTTCCTGTTTCCCAGGGAAATGAAAACTAAAGAAACCTGTCCATTCAACCTGCCTCCGAGRAGACCTCGGAACTCATATGTATCAGGACCCGGAGAGATCCCTAAAACATAGCATGCAKGATTTGAGCAATATGCCAAAGTTTAATGATTTAATTTATAGCTCAACTAGTTTTTGAAGTGCAATCAAAATCATTATGTTTGAGTAAAACTTATGAAACTTTATAAGTTTTACTCAAAAATAACCATCCCAAACGATAAAATACTTGATTTTCTCGAATGCTGGAAAATATAAGAAATGTTCCTACTAACCTTGACAGGGTCCATCGTACGCTGCAGAAATGTTCATATTGTACTGGCAAGCATACGCTTCCATTTCACATGGATTGTTATAAGTAACCATGTCTGTACCGCAAACTTCCTTCTTCTCGTTGAGACAGTCATAYTGCGGACATTCACACACAGCCTTCACGCCCTGAAGCAAACATGCTTGTTGTGGATGGCTGCATTTAATGTCATCACAAGATTCCTTGACTGAATTAAAATATGTATTTTTAGTTTGTTGTTTATTTACATAGGACATATGCTTTATTTATTATATATAACGCGACTTTCATAGAGTAATGACATAAATAAACTATATTTTCTTACTCGCTAGTAGTACATATCAAGGATTAGAAGTTTTTCGGCATATCACGTGGTAGAGGTGACGTCAGTATATTGATGTAGTAATAAGATTYTCACTTACAAGAGTGCCGTCATATTAATTTGTTTTGCTCTCAGTAATGAAAAATTGATAATTCAATTAAGTTAAAGAATTGGGGAATAGAAATAACTTGTACATAATAAGCCATTCATAGATAATTTACCTAGTATTCGAAATTGAATAAACCCTTTAAGCGATCTCTTTTACGTTGTGTAAGCCTCAAAACATGTAATAATTTTAAAATAGATAATTACTGAGGCACGCAGCATTCGTAGGCACAATGCAGGCTCGCTTTCGTTTCGGCTCAAATCTTTGTATCCGATAAAACACTCCTGCTTGTTTGTTAAACAGTACATATTATACAATACCTTCGCATTTTCCTTGATATTCAATCCTGATATCTTGACTGTTGGGGCAGGAGAAGCTGTCCAAATAACACGAATTCCGGTAGGTTTTCCCATCTGACCCACAAACGGGATCATCCTTAGAGCTGCATTTTATCATTGGGCATTGGCAGACAGGTTTGTCATTCAGCACATTACATTGTTGCATTTTATGGCTGCATTTGATTTTATCACATGGCGAGGGTGCTGAAATATTAAAAGAATATTGAATAAATTGAGTCTCATGACTCAATTTTATTAAAATTGCACACTAAAAAAGTTCCGAAAATTGAAAATGGAAGAGATAGTATTTCGAAATTCGTCAAAACTATTCGAATAAATATTTCCTTGGCCGCTTCTTCATGTCATTATTTTATTAAAAAATATTAAAAAACCCCGAATCTTATAACTTGAAAAAAAAAAAAAAAATCGTTGCCATGACAATGCTGATSAAGCTGTAAATGGCATCGCTTAAAACTTTTATCTTATTTCTATAACTATCAAAAAGGTCAAGTACATAGGTAGTTCGCTTTTGAACTACCTTGAACGCAGTTSGTTTTCGAGTGTTTTGACRTTGGTCTGTTTTTAGCAAAAAACAACAACAACAAAGAGAAACAACAAAGACAAGGAAGATGCAAACTTTKATCAAAAAAATATATCARATAATTACGTTGATGGCATTCTCCTTGAGAGATAATGGTAACCATGATCTTTTTTGTACAAGCAGCGGTTTTCATTTCGCATTCGTTGCTGTAGGTTTTATTGTCCGATCCACAAACAGGAGCGTAGATCTCCGGGCAGATCAAGGGACATTCACAAGACGTGCTCCCGTCTTTACCAGCTTTGCAAATGCCATAGAAACCACAATCTGCGYCATCACAGGGGTTGGGACCTTAATTATGAAACATGTAGTTATTAACCACTTCGCAGTCATTCATGAAAAACAAAGGCAGCTCAACACAAAATGACCACGACAAACATTAATTTGTAATTTCCATTTTTTCAATTAGTACATACAGTACAATATAGAGGTTCGAACTTTCACTAACTTGGAGGTGTGCAGTCGGGTCTTTGACGACCTCTTGTCCCTTCAAGTTCATCRCCTTTATCATCAACACACCAGCATTGGCCTACAGAGCCATGGCATTGCATTGGTTCGTATTTACCGCTATCTTCACAGGCGGGTAGAAATCGGCCAATTGGTGGATTATCTAAAGCGTCTCTATAATGTCTTTGACACTTGGTCAAAGCTGAAAACAATATCCATCATCAGTGTTAATTTGAAATAAAGTATGAGCATGCACGTGACGTTCACTGTAAATGTGAACGCTTTASAAGTGTCCTTACGCTGTCTTAAAATAGAAGACTGTAAAAAGCATATAATTATTGCCGCATAAGATTGCATGAAACAATAGTAGCATGAAACAATAGTAGCATTTCAAATGACTTCAAGGAAGAAGGAATTACTTTGATATTTTGGAATCACCAGCTTGCTTTTGTTTGKCAATAGATTGATGTGTCTGACTGACCTTACCTTCATCACTACAATTCCTAAYGGCTCCTTGACGGGTGCTAATACGAGTACTWGTGATGATATTGCCGTTGTTAACATTGACACACCAACACTCGCCAACAGAACCATGGCACTGAACGGCTGTAAAGTCACCATTCTCATCGCATGAYGGTAAGTACATACCAGGAGGGGGAAGCTCATTATCTCCAAGGATTTCTTGTCGTTTCTTTTGGCATGGTGTCAGTTTTGGATCTACAACTCAATCAAATATGTACTTTATAAATTTTCCAATATGATACAAGCACGTTAAAAAAAATTAAATATATAAAAAAAAATAAAACTTGATCCGAGGGTCGTGGGTTCAAATCCCAGCGAGGTCGGTCTTTCTCCCGGAATAACCTCTTTCCTAGCACTATAACTTTCCTTTATTTCTTTATCATGAACAATATTTAGAAAACGACTAGATTGATGGAATGCACGTTGGAAATGCCTCAAAGATGCTTATTGTCTATTTAAGTAGCATATTCATCTACTGGTCTCTCAATTTTTGTCAATCATTTGTTACTTTGATCTATTTGTTCATCACCTGGTGGGGGAARAGAAGGAATAGCATCGACACATGTTCTCTGGCAACCATTAAAGCAGCATTTCTTGCCATCACTRCAGTCTTTGTCCAAAGTACAGGTGTCACCCATTYTGTCACAAACACCATTTCTACCCTTATTAGGCTGTGGACATGTACCATTTATTCCTGGAAGGAATCCATGAACAGCTACAAAAATAAAGTCATTACACACGAATTAGCATTACAATGTTCAGGAGTAATCGTCCTGTTCATTTTTTAGAAGGAAAGATCGAGCCAGAGAAGATTACCCCTGTGTTTAATAGAACGCYAATAGCATGCCATCATTGTTATTATGTGGTATATACTGTATGTGCTCAATATATAAAACAATATGAAGTATTCAAACTTTTACCTAGTCTCCTTCGCAGCCTACCCTTTTGTCGGCCTTCCTAGGCAGCGAAGGAGAATAAATTTTACCTGGAAGATTGCAATTTGGTTTTCGTCCTTTGATCCGTGTAAATGGAAGCTCGTTACCATACTGGTCTGAGCACCAGCAGTATCTMGGCGAGCCATGACATTGTACTTCGTCATAAAAGCCGTTTTCGTGACATGAAGGTGTGAAAAGTATCTTTGATTTTGGAATTATGGATTTCCGGTGTTTGATACAAGGAGATTTTCCATCTGTTTTGTAAGAAATGAAACGATGCCTTTTACCAAAATGCATAAAAMAAATGAATCAATGACATTATTTTTCGAATAAAGTCCCTTATAATTGAGTTGCTCAAYRTTGGTTTCCAAAGTATCACAACAATCTAAAATGGCAAACAGACGAAATCAAACGTCTAAAACTCAGATARTGCATTGAGTAGTGGCCCAGTACTGGTCGGAATTGAATTATAGGTACGRCGTGCAGTCCATTGATCGCGATTCCTTTAGCGTTTCCAAGGATAAATAAGGACTGGATTAGTGACAGCTTATTGAWAAAAAGGCTGATAATATATATCAAGTAAGAATATACCTGGGTATACGCAATCATTCTGGCATCCGTTGGAACAACATATCTGTCCAAACGGACAATCATCATTATTCTTATCACACATGTCTCCACGGAAGTCACAAAATCCTCTCTTTCCCTTCCAAGTCTTCGGACACTTTCCTTTAGGTTTTTCTAAATAAGATTTATAATAAKTCTACAGGATTATAGCACAATGAACACAATTGTTTTATTCATGTCATAAGGAGTGCTTGCAAAATGCAACGATCTCTGCTGGTAAGATGTTATTTTGCTATTTTTTCTTATCAAATATGCACTCAAAAAAGCTAAAAAAGCATCAAATCAGAATWTTTTTAACAGGAAAATTTCATATTAAGGTATTTCTACAAGRCYGCCCCTTYATAARATATGCCGGAATACAATTGATGTAATTATCTAAGAACAAATAGACCAATATCCAAAATCAGCAAACAACTCAAAAACAGCCATTCCGAATTAAACAGCTAATCATCCATGGACAAAATTTTGCAAGGTTGTATCATGTCTGGTCATGTGCCCAGTAAACAGCAATTTTTATGTGAATTGCCTGCCATTTTTCGAATCGGTAATGGCTGTGGCAGCGTAAAACAACACCTAACTAATAAATATTTATTTATGGCAGAGCGGAAAAATGATCAATTTCAAACAATAAGAAGGGTATGAGTGCGAATTTTTTTTAGGTAGGAAAAAAGGTTTTATATTACTTACCTTTCTTACATTCTCCATTATGTTTCACGGTAATCATTTGCTCACTAGAACAAGCTTTTGCTTTCATCGAACACAGGTTACCGTACGTTACTCCGTCMGATCCACAGACTGGCGTGTAGTCCAGKGTACAAACGSTTGGACATTCGCAAGTCGTGTTGCCGTTCATGTCGTCTTTACACATACCATAGAAAGGACACGTGACGTTGTCGCAAGGATCTATAATGAGTTATTTTCATGATTAATGATTTATGCATTTTCGTTTATTTCCATCTTTGTTATCCAAAAACAAATACCAGAAACTTATCGACAAAAGTACAATATTGAGAAATATTAGGAARTATAATTCTAAATATTAGGAATAAATAAAGGAATCAAAAATCACATCATGTAATGTTTCAAAGTCTCGTAAACAATATTAACAATTATCGACCTCAGCTTTTGTGTAAAAATTTGGRTCAATTGATATGTGTTTTATATTTTTTGGGAACTTTTTTGACAGACGGCATCGAACGCTTTTCGCGCGCTTTTCTTTGACAATTTTGGTGATTTTGTGGACGAATTATCTGACCTATTCTGGATGTCACTCCTGGCAGCTTTACTTGTAATGTTCTGTTTGATAGAAAACTCTGTGTCCACCTCCAGAAGTTCCGACTAACGCCCATGTCAGCAAGCTTAGTCAGCAGAATCGCGTRTTTCCCCAAAAAATTTCATCGAAGTGACATCACGGAGTCCATTGCCCACGAACGTCCTTAATGTACGCTAGAGCGGATTTCGTATGACTGTGCAAAAAAAAAGAAACTGTAGCCGTGATGCATTGGAAAATCTTTACTTTCATTTGAAATCCTAGAAGGCGAGGTTCCGTGACCGTGCCGTGCCGTGTCCGTGTTGTGATCCGTACTTTTGCACAGTCATACAAAATCCGCTCTATCACTTAATTCTTAAAATGATAACCGTTCTCCAAGATCATAAATCCTTTTGCGCCTCGTTTATAACTCTCTCCCCGCTAACATATTGTTATATCTCTGGAGATATTAATACAGTATTGATTTTAAATCTAACGCTATAGATACTGGATCAGTGAGAAGAAAAGCGCAATTGTAGTTGTAATTGATTTTGCAGTCTGGTGTATTTCTTACCTTTCTTACAATCTCCATTATGTTTCACGGTAATCATTTGCTCACTAGCACAAGCAGCAGTTTTCATCGAACACAAATTACCGTACGTTACTCCGTCTGATCCACAGACTGGCGTGTAGTCCATGGTACAAACGGTTGGACATTCACAAGTCGTGTTGCCGTTCATGTCGTCTTTACACATACCATAGAAAGGACACGTGACGTTGTCGCAAGGATCTATAATGAGTCCTTTTAGTATTGTAATGATTGATATATCTTTGTTTATCTCCATCTTTGTTTTTCAAACAAATACCGGAAACTTATCGACAAAAGTACAATATTGAGAAATATTAGGAAATATAATTATAAAGATTAGGATGATTGAACCAAGCGTCAGAATTGTACCTGGAGGAGGAGGAGCGATGACATCAATGCACTCTCGCTGACAGCCATTAAAGCAGCACTTTTCGTTATCACCACTACACGTTGAATCTATAGTGCACTGATCTCCCATTCGATCACAGATRCCGTCACGACCCTTGGTTGGCAGAGGACATGAGCCATTAACTACATCAACGAACCCTGGAACAACTGAAGAAAAAGAAAAACGAATGATGTTGATAATAATCGCAGAGGAAATCATGCATTGGTCGAGGTCATCACATTTGAAGCCATGATCGCCATGTCAATAAGCTGGTATGAGTAAGCAAGTTARTCTGAAAGAGCGATTAAATGTTCATATATGGCTATTTCGAGACGCAATGTCCATTACACGACCAACATTAGCTGTGCCTAAAGAGTTGAAACATGGCAAGCTTTCATTGAGAAGTTTTCCACTTCAACATTTTGAAGTGGAAGTATTTGGCCAAAAAGCACAGAATCTGACACCGTTGATTTTTCAGCTTCCAATTAAAGTTCTAGTTAATTTTAGAGGCGTTGCCCCCCTGTTTAAGCACATAAAATTAGATTTTACTTCCCTCCCCCTCTTGATAAATATTGCGCAGTCCCTAAGTTAAGATTATCATTTGTGGATGCTAAACGAACAACAACTTCTTTTAGTCAATTTTTTGATATGTATCGTTGACATTTAGTAAATATAACCCTTCTGGCGGCTGGGATATCGGCTGATAATGTCCGAGGATGAGAAATGGTCCGGAAAATGAACATTTGCCCTCGAAGCGAAAATGTGATATTTTGAGGACTATTTCTCTTCCGAGGACATTATCAACCGATATCCCAGTGAGCCAAGAAGGGGCTTATTTATTTTATATCCCAACGAATTCATTTTGTTGTGTTGACGAAGAAAAGCCATTAAAGTGCAAGGTAAAATCTACACACGATGTTATTGGTTCACAGTAATTTTTTCGTTATTTCATTGGTTAATCATTTGACAAGTGTTGACAAGGCGGCAAAAGTCTCTACTGAAGTAAAAACTACAAATTTATTGCTGCGTTTAGCGTAAATTACAAGTCTTTTTAGACAGAAAACCTCGAAAATTAGTGTTACTCTTTAGTTCTTTTCCTTTGAGCCATTAGACATAGAATTTGCGAAATTAAGAGACACAGAACAAACTTAGCAAGTGAAAATGTTTGTAAACAAACCGGCATTTTGTTAGTGGCTAGTAATTTTCTCAACGTAAAATACGTTCACAGCGTACTTAGTCGACTTATTTGTATTTCCAGATGTCGTTTTGTCAACTAGTTTTTTATTCTCATCATCAGAGCTCTTTAAAAAGCGGTTTTGATCACTTTCCATAGCTTTTTTTGAGTCAAAAACACATCTCAAAACTTACGCGGACAAATATCACCTTCGGACGGGGGATATCGCCTGATACCCGTCCGCCGAAAATGTACCACGTGACGCCTTTGGACCAATGGATGCGAGTGAAAATATATTGTTGGGATATAATACTTGACTTGATAATACACGACGACGTTCTGGACTAGCATGTTGCTGATCAGTATTGGAATCTTGGCTTTATGTTCACGCTTTACTTTTCTTCAAGATTTGACATGTGGTCATAAATGGTATTCTTAAAGTGTGCCAGAATGTACTAACAAAGTTAAGAGTAATTACCGTTCAGATTGCAGTTGGGTTTCCCTCTAATGCGAGTATACGGACGTTCATTGCCATCAATATCAACGCACCAGCAGTGTCCAGTAGAACCATGACATTGCATTGGATTATAGTGGCCATTTTGGTGACAAGAAGGAGTAAAATGGCCGACTATGAACTGTTTCGTCTTTTCCTTAGCGTCTTGAAGCATTCTTTGACAAGGAGATTTGCCATCTAATCGATACATAATAATATTTATTATTCACTTAACTCTCCTTTGTAATTTTTTACCTTCACACCTATTGTCTGCAGTATAACTATCACGTATTGTATGTAAATAGCCCAGCACTTAGCCTTTTGTTCTATATCATATATATATATTTAGATGATAGGAATGTTAATCATTAAATACTGTCTGATGATTGCGTAGCACGAAACTCGGAGTAACAGAAAATCTCTTCGTTATTAGTATATATTTAATTAGCTCTACACCATACGTATATTGATGAGCGCTCTTTAATGGGATCAGCAACTTCTGTATATGTTTATAAATGTTATTTATAACAAAACACTCTTGCAAGACACCCTCGAATGTTAATATACGGAGGCTGGCCTTTGAGACCTTGTTTTAGTGATTCGTCCCTAGTGCCCAGGGCGGGGTTATTCAAAGCCCAATTAGCGCTAACCCTAGGTTAACTCTTAGAAAACCCATGGAGATAACCCTAAAAACACGGCCCTGGTCGGCGACCGTGACATCACGCCATTTTTGAAAGTCGTAAATAGGCTATCAGAGACCCAGCATTCAGATTGTCTAYTAAACTATGATTTATTCGCATAGAATGAAGTGAAAATAGTGTCAGTGATAGTAGTTCTTGTTCAGCCAGCACTTAAAGTTTGTTTGATTGGTGTTAATGCTTTACAATTGTTTTGCGTCTAGTGCAGACCTGGCAGGCAATGGTTTGAAGAAAGGATTAAGCGCAACATCGGTTTCTGGACGAAAATTATTGGAAAACTTCAATCAGTGGTTGTCTTGAAATTTAAGTCTCTTAGAGAACGTTCCACAAGGAATTCTGGTCAGATAATGAGCAGAGTTTTGCATAGAGATATAAAGGTAAATATTACCTCGGTAAACAATTTATCAAACCTACATACCTGGGTAAAGACAATCCTTTTGGCATCCATTGAAACAACATATTTGTCCAAAATTACAGCTAGCGTTACTGCGGCACATGTCCCCGCGTCGGTCACAAATTCCATCTTTTCCTTTCCATGGTTTTGGACACTTGCTCACTAGAAACAAATTTATCATAACCGAAAAACGTTTTAGCGGTTGTTAAGAGGTTTTCGAAAACATACGCAGTTCTTTATTATTGTTTCAATCATTACAATTACCAAAATGCATTGCTCACTTTCCTTTAGAATGTGTTAGT